AAGCATGCAAGAGGTGACCAAACCAGCCCAAAACAGAGTTATGGAATGTCAAAATGGCAATTTTGAGGTGCTTGAACTAAGCTAATTCAAATCACAAAAGCATGCTACTTTGTAAGGGTAACAAGGCTAGCAAAGAGGATTTACACTACAAGTGAAATAAGCATGCAAGAGGTGACCAAGACAACCAAAAATAAAGTCAGGGCAGGTCTGATAAGTCACAAAAATGAGCCTTAACAAAGGCATAAAGAAGTAAAAACACACACTCCTTATCATGTTTGGATCTCAAAGGAGTGTAGTGCTCGACTCTCGAGCCATCAATCATGCATTTCAATGCATGATGGCCAAAGAGGCCGAGTAACACAAATCAATATGGATGAAATGCACAAAAACACATAAATGCCTTAACCTCTATCATGCATGATCAGGAGGGTCGGCGGCCGAAAATTGAGGAGGCTCCGAAAATTTCAAGTATGAAACGTCCCTCGTTCCTCGTGTTTGAACTAACACCTATTCCAAACAAAATGCAACAAATAACATTCATAACACAATGCAATGCAATATCAAGCATGCAAACATGCAATGCAAGGGACAAGTATGCAACAACATGTAATGCAACACGGTATACTCAATGCGATGAATAACATGGCATACTCAATGCAATGTGACATGATCAACTTAACAAAACTAATGTCATGCAAAATTGCTAATGCATGCATTCTCAATGCAAGGCAACAAAAGCATGCAACAACATGAGGCAATGCAACAATATTCTCATAACATGCTCGATGGACTTAAACCAAAGTAGACAAACCTCAGTCATGCCCAAATCAGTGGCCATAATGCTAAAATAAAGGCATGAAATGCAAAACAAAGCATGCACATGCATTGGCCCATCAACTAGGCCTAAGAGCACAACTCTCAAGAGTGCTCAAGGAGTGACAAACATGGAAGTGTAACAACATTATAAGCTCTGAAATATGGTGAGAAATGATGCCAAATCATTCAAACAACACAAGCATAGCGTACTAAAGTCCTTAAGGCATAAGGCTAGTAAAGAGGATTACAAAGGGGGCATGCAATACATGGCACAAATGCATGAACCGACCATGGACAAAGCTCAAATAGGTCTAAACAAAGACCAAAACATGCTAGAATGATGATCAAAAGCATGATACACATTAGGTTAGTTCATGGAATTGCACTACAAGTGCATGGAGCATGCATGGACCAACCAAACCAAACCTTAATAGAGGTATGACATGTCAAAACATCACCAAAAACATGCTGAAATGGAGTCAACATAAGCTAGAAAGACATGCTACTTCATGAAGCATACAAGACTAGTTTATGAAATTTACACTACAAGTGTATAAGGCATGCATGGAATGACCAAACCAAGTCAAAACAGATTTGAGGCATGCTGAAATAACCCCAAATACATGCTAAGAACAAGCCAACACAAGCTTAATAAACATTCTCAAACATGAGGCCTATGAAGCAAGTATTCAAAATACAAGGAGAGGGGATGACCCTCTCCTATTTGGGGCCCGAAAACCACCTTTTGACCACTAAAAATCCTTTGGATTTTAGTGGCGACAAGGCCATGCAAAGGCTAAAACAAGAGCCAAAAGGGATGGCTTAAAACAAGGCCTAATAAGGCCTAAGAGGGGGTAGACCACCCCCAACAAAAAAGTGACCTTAAACAAACACTTTAAGCATGCAAAAATAGAACTTTTTGCAGTAGGAAGTTAAGCTTAAATCGGCATGCATATAGGTCTAAAAGCTTAAGCAAAATCAAGGGATTTAAGGGTTAGAAGCTCACCCTTGATGAACACCTTCAAAACCACAACTCTAGCAGGTTTTCAAAGCTCAAATCAATCCAACAACACCAAAACCAGCTCCTAAGCACCTCAGCAACAAAAGGATGGTGTTTGAGTGTGTGTTTGTGTGTTAAAGTAAGATAAAACTACACTTTAAGGCACAAAAATGAAGGACAAGAGCATGATAGATACAAAGGTGTATATGTATAGCTCAAGGCACACCAAACTGAACCTAGAGGAGGAAGGGGGATGTTCTCTCTTATAGAGAACCAAACTCAAGCTTGTTGGACAAGCTTAGGGTTCAAGGCCATCCCTCCATACACGTGTATGGAGGATGGCTTTAGTGCCTTCCAGCTGTGCCAGCTGGATAAAAATATCTCCAAAAAGGTGACAAAAAGCAACCGACCACTTGAAGTGGTCGGCTGATCACCACAAGTGGTCTCCCAAGAAATAAACTGGTCGGCCATGGTGGAAGAGGGTCTAGAGCATGAAAACAATGCAGTGGTGTGGTGGCCGACCAGAAAAGGTTGTCCAAAGACGAAGAACACTAGTTGGCCGACCAGAAAATTGGCTGGCGGGAGGAAAAGTAGTCTCCAAGGGGAAGAACTGGCCTCCCACCCTTGTACCACCTTCCAAACAAGGAAAACAAGGTTTGTACCAAAAACAAACCAAAACGGATGCAAGACGTCGCCGCTCAGTATTGGGGCCGATGCTGAGAAGGTAATCTTTTTCCCTTTATGCTCTGTTTGGTTGCTGAGAAAAGTTGAAAGGAAGAAATGACATTATGTTTTTATGTAGAATTAGATCCCAAAACAACCATTTGGGTGGTATAAGCTCCACAACCATTTGCACTGGGATTGTGATTCTTGCTCTAAATGACATTTGTCTTTCAAATTTTATGAAAAATAGATTACATATGTTTTTACATTTGATAAGAATAGAAGAATGGTGATGTGTTGAGGAATTAACCAAGTACACAGTAGCAAGAAGAATCAATTACAAATAAAAAATGCATTACGTATATAGATAGGTGGTTCGGCAAGATTAGTCACACTAGCTTCACTATATTGAAAAAAGAAAAGAAAAGAGTACAAATTGGTTGCTTGTTTAAACAACAATGTATATGTTAGGGTTCACAGCCACCAAACTCCCACCTTCGGGCTGGCTGCCGCCTGCAACCTCTCTGCCAACTAACTGCCAAGTTGGATTCGCAACTTCATGGTGAGGTGTACAATACTAATTAGGCTCCACAAACCCAATATGATAATCTTTTGAAAAAGAATAACTAGTCATTAAAATAGTCTTGCATTGGATAAGTGTCAATTGTTTTTAAGCTTTTGATGGCGATCTGTTTAGTCAAATATCTTGGAAGTCCATGTAAATCGTTCATGACATGAAACTGAATTTTCGATTAGATATATCTCTTAGATTTTTTTCTTAATATTCAGTAGTTTTAGTGACATTCCGGTCGTCTTATTATGTTTTTTGTCCATTCTCAGATGGCACCGAAGCAGAAAATTAGGATTAAACTTAGGTCATATTGGGTGCGACTGATAGAGGATTCATGCAAGCAAATAGTGGATGCTGCAAGGACTACCAATGCAAAGACCATGGGTCCTGTGCCGTTACCAAGCAAGAAGCGAATTTATTGTGTACTTAAATCTCCACATGTCCACAAAGATGCCAGGTTCCATTTTGAGATCAGAACTCATCAGCGCCTCATTGATATTCTATACCCGACTGCCCAAACAATTGATTCCTTGATGCAGCTTGACCTTCCTGCCGGGGTTGATGTGGAAGTCAAGCTCTGAGAAAGCATTGCTTCAGCTTCAATGGGCACTGTATGTTCACACTTCTTAATTTGAGATAGGTTAGACACCCCCTCTTAGAACTGTATATGAGAATTCCACCTCATACAGCCCAAGCAGAAAAACACTCAAATACTAGTTCCGATGGATATGTAATAGAAAGTTTGAAACTTCTTAATCTTTGATTCAATCTTTTCTATGGTGTAAGAAAATTGTGAAAGCTCTTCTTTGTGGCAATAATGCCAAATTATCAAGTTGGTTCAGTTGTCTCTATCTTGATCTTGATCATAGCTAAATAAGAGCACTATATTTTCCTACCGGCATTTGAAGCTCTCTTCAAATTTAAAAGCAAGCACAACCTCTAATTTGGTGGTAGTATCATGTCATGCTTGTACAAGAGTTGCTTGAGAATATTGTTGAATGAATAACTAAAATATTGGTTGCAAATGTTGAGTTCTTTTTTGTTTTTAAAGATGTTGCCCATGTCCATATGAGCAGTTTTGAAGGACAATTACTATGGAAGAAAATTTGGGAGATTTGTAAATCAGTGAGTATGGAGATGCAAGTGTTCTTGTGCATTCGTGCAAGTGAAAACTGTGGCCTTATTTGCACTAGAGCACATACTCCACTTGCACTATATTTTTGCAATTAATTTCACTTTTTTAACACTAATTTGCAATTTCCTCAAAATAAAATTTCCTGATTACACACCCTAATTGGTATATATGACATCTTTTATTCACTTTTTGAAACTTTTGATGGCCGAGTCCATAAAATTCAGGCTTTAATAACCAATTTTATTTCTTTAGGTGCAAAAGATTACATCTAGGTTGAGAAATTGCTAAGGGAGAGCAATTGCGAGGCTGGTGGTGAAGCGATGATGTTGTGGTTTTGAGCCTTGAAGGTAAGCTTATGATTTCTTATCTAGGAAAAACATAGACAATTGATTTCTTAAAAAAATGCTCAACCAAGTACAGTCCCTTTGGTAATTGAAATCAATGTATGCTTTGTTTTGAAAACCACGCCAGGAAACAAATTTCCTAGTTCAGTGCACATCTTTTAGAATATTGAATTGGTAGATTTCATGGTTTTCCACATAGTGCCAATATTGATTAAATGTCGCTACTCTGTTGCCAAATTTAGTTATCGACGGTTTAGATGCAAGATAATTCAAGCTTAATAGGATTGGACTGAGTGATAGATATTCTGAATTATTATAATAAAAAAAATTCCACACACTTTTATATGAATAATGTCCTAAGTTTCTGATGTTTCAAAATTTTTGTTATATGGTATTGATAATAAGTGCATTGAAATCATATCTCAAAAATTTTATGGTAACATACCGTTAATAATGAACTAAAAAAAAATAAAAAATAAAAATCATAAATTTAAGGATAAAGTATCCTGACCACTTGGTGCAGTCATTGTGTAAACTTTTATTAGGATTTAAATGCAATGAATCTAGGGAGGAGTGAGTGATTGTGAAATAATGATTCAGTCAATTAAATAAAGTTTCAATGGTCATTGAAAGATATTGGAGAAGAAATAAAGCAGTTGACACAGATTTATTTGATTGATGTTTTAATTAAATAATAAAATAATTAATGTAAAAAGTAATTTTTTAAAAAAATATTTTTAACACGTCTTTTTATAAAATAAATTAAATATAACAATGAATATTGTAATAAAATATTCATTTAATTTTATTCTTGTTCCAGTAAGCTAATAGGAGTCTGCTGTTTTGCATTTTGAAGAGCCACCACAAGCTTGAATCAAAAAAAGAAGAGCTACCACAACCACTAAGGTCAAGTTTGGCTACTCAAAATAAGTACGCATTTTTTATCTTTTTATCTTTCTTCTATCACATTATCTCTCTACTTTTCTATACATCTATTCGTAAAAAGACAAGAAGTGCACTTATTTAGGTCATCCCAAACAACTCTTAAGCCAAAAGTGACACAAACTGGGAGGGTCCTACGACGGTTGATTTGTGAGAATAATATTTGAGACGTCTAAAATTTTTGATTCTAACGATTTTTAATTAATTTATGATCCTTTATTATTTATTTATTATTTTTTTGTTTTAGGGTTGGTCTGGCAAGTGAAAAAAAAATTAAAAATCTAAAAAGTTATTAAAAAAGTTAAAAAATTATTACTATTCATAAAAAAAATATAAAAAAATTAATATACAAATATTAAATATAAATTAACTTTTTGGCCCATCAATGTACTGACGTCACGGTAGCTTCAGTGAAAGGGAAAAAAAAAAAGTTTCATGTGTACATTCACTAAGTTGGATGGTAAAGTTGGACTCGTGGGGGCCCACTATGGGTCCCGTTTTGATAATCCGAACCGTTGAAGATGTAGAATTCGTCTAGTACTATATGCCTATAAAAAATCACGTCTATCGGATATCCCTAACTACATGATCAAATCAGTTTTGTAAAAAAATTGAATGGTGTTATAGTTAACAGTTGACAAAAAAACTAATACGATCAAATAGTTATCGATATCTAATCAACGTGATTTTTACAAACATATAGTAATCGACGAATTCTACACATTGAACGGTTCTGATTAGAAAAAGGGACCTGTGGTGGGCCCTTACAGGCCGAACAACACAGCCAATCAAAGCCCGAAAAGGAAGCAATCTTTTCCCATGTATTCACCAAGCCGCTTGCATTGCTAATCCGTATAGTGTGTTACAGTATTTTTTTCTACACATTTCTTTATATAATTTTTTGATACACATTTTTTCAAAAAAATAAAAAATTAAATCAAACATTCATATTTTTTTCTCAATTTTTTTATTTAAAAAAAACAAAAAATACATTTATTTAGAACACCTTAAATAATTCTTTAATCCCTCTCCCTCTCTCTCACAAGGCGGCGGCGGGTGTTTGGGTGCTGGAGGTCCTTATCACAACTGTTTTTCGAAAGAATAATGTTTGAGGGCCCGAAATTAAGGGCTCGAATTTGGCTCGAAACCCGAAACGACAATTTTTTTTTTCTTCCTTTTCTTTCTCTTCCTTTTCTTTCTTGAACCACATTCTTAGATGAATTCAACCCTGTTTGTGTGTTACTGTTTTGACTTGAGTGGTAAAATGCTTGCAAGAATATCACTCTTGTGGTCTTTAGAGTGATCTTGAATTCTCTGTTGTGTGGTAGCAATGCAATGGGTTTCAAGTATCCTGAAAAATGTGAATTTTGGTTCCTTCCCTTTCTTTCTTAAGATTCATTCTGAGTTTAATTCAATTATGTTTGTGATATTGTTTGGATTTGAGTGGTTTAATGAATGCCAGAACTTCGATTCTATCAGTTGCAGTCTTTATTCAATCTGTTTGATTGGCAATTCGTTTTTTGTTCTATGTTTTGAATTTTTTTTTTTAATAATAAAATAAAAAATGGCTAGTTAAATTGATCCTGAAAACTGTTTCTGGGAAAATTTCATAATTTTTAAGTCTCTTTGTTAATTTTCCCCCCTATTCTGCTTGCATTATGAGTGGTTTAATTGCATGCAAGAATTTCACTGCTTTGTCAGTTTTGGTCTTTACTCTGTTAGGTTGAATACTCTGTCATATCCTATATGGTTGGCAATAATAGATTTTGAAGTATTCTACATGTGAATTTCAGTTCGGTTTCAAACTTTCTTATTTGTTTAGGCTCTTGTTTGTTGGGTAACTTTGGATTGCAGTGCCTAGTTGCAATTTCAATTCCAAAAATTTGATGTCATTTAAAAATATATATTTGAGTTCTGTATAATCTTTAATTTCTTGTACTTATTTGGCTTGATGTGTAGGTGAAATTGTTGAGAATTCGGTTCTGAATTAAGATTTTAACATTCCAAATCATTTTCACCCAGAGTTACTCATTTTTGTACGCTTTTTGTTTGTTGTGGTACGGTGGTTAAATACAGACCTGTGATCGGTGTTCCATTATGGAGTGGTTAGACGACGACCATTGGTTGTGCCCTCAAACTGCGGAAGTCCTCTCCTATACTATCCTCAGCCCCAATCACTTGGTGCGAGAAATGATAACACAATGGTGCAAGGACCGTAGCATCAAATTAGCAGAGCCTCGTGAGCGTATTATGGATGAGAGTAAGATAACTGAAGCAGACAAGGTCTGCTTATTTTCACTGCTCAAAAAGATGTTTTCTTCTTCTATCTCTGATCAGAAAAGAGCTGCAAGAGAGCTTCGTCGACTGACCAGGTATCAGCCCTCATTTCGAGCCCTTTTTGTTGAGTCCAAGGATGCGATTTCCAGATCACTTGAACCACTTGTTTCACCAGCTGGAAATGGTAGTGCAGCTCATTTGCTGCTGGATCCTGAACTCCAAGAGGATTTGATCACATTGGTTCATAATATCTCAGTTCACGAGAAAAACAAGAGACCCATTGCACGGAATCCTATTGTTGTCCCTTTGCTGATTGAAACGTTGAAAACTGGATTGACCATTCAAACGAAAAGCAATGCTGCTGCATCACTATTCACGTTAGCAACCTTTGATTGCAACATGGTCATTATTGGGAATTTAGGTGTTTTCAAACCTTTGATTGATCTTGTAGAAGAAGGGCATCCAGTGGCAATGAAGGATGTCCTTTTAGCAATATACAGACTGTGTGAGAACACAGAGAATCGAGTAAAAGCTGTTCAGGATGGAGCTGTGAGGGTGCTTGTGAAAAAGATCATGGAGGAGGAGGGCACAGGACCAGTTGTCTCTATGTTGTTGACGGTTTTGACATTGCTTTCGAGCCAACAGCAAGCTGTGGAGGAAATGGGGGAGCTTGGCGCTGTGCCTTGGTTGCTCAGGATGGTGAGGACGACCAATAATGAAACCAACATGGTTAATTGTTCTGCAATTTTATTGAATATCTGTAGGCGTGACCGCAATAAAAGGAAAGAGATGTGGGAAGCAGAAATTGCCAACCGTACAATCTCCAGAGTTGCAGTGAGTAGGAATCCAAGTGCCTCACAGAATGGCAATGCCATTCTTGAAAAGCTGAGGAAACATATCATACAATAGATACACTCACTCACTGATTACTCACTCATTATATTCCATCCGTTAGCTCAGTTACCTGTATAATGACCACATACAAAAAATTGTTCAAATTTCACATAATCAACCATTCTATTAGCTAAGAAATTTCTGCAAGGATATTGATATTTTTCCTCTATTCATTCTGAATAAATAAATACATGGGTATTTCTGGTGACTATACTTTCTGTTTATCTGCCTGGCCGCTCTAATTAGTTCTTACATTCTTTTTGTGTGTGTGTGTGTGTGTGTATGAGAGAGAGAGAGAGAGAGAGAGAGAGAGAGAGAGAGAGAGAGGCCGCAAGCTATCACCATAAACATGTACACAAATGTAATCTAAGCAGAATCAATTTCAGATAAAAATGGATATAGCTTGATCTTCAAGATGGTATTGTCTTAATTTTCTTAACAGAAAAATCAATCTTGACATAAATTGCAGTTAAAAGGGGAGACTGTTACATGTATTCGGGAACAACAATAGCCATCTGCAAATACCCATTCTATTGGCACACCTAACTCTTACAAAGATAATAATAAACAAAACTGCTACAACAAAAAAACCAAAAACATTTCCTTTTAATTCTAGTAAACACTAGAACAGAATTTTTCATCTCCTCAAAAAGGCCAAGCCAGCCCTGTGTCATACAATACATGGAGATCCTAGAAGCGACATCTTCATCGCTGGAATAGTTGTCGATCAATTTTGAACTAGGGTAAAATTAATAAATAAAGATTGAAGAAGCTTCATGCACGCAGGTCCTTGTTTGAACTCCATGCAGGGCTTTTTGAAACAACGCTGTCAGCTAAGACACTAGCTCCGTTTTCCACGCTCATTAGAGGTTCAGATTCACTCTCCTTTGCCTTGAATGATGCAAAAGGAAAGAGGATTAGTAGACTACTTGTCCAAAAACATAGCATGATGATTTAAGCACAAAATGAATTACGAAAAAAAAAAAAAAAAAATGTGGGGAAAAAATGAAGAATGTGAAGTACCTGGGACAGCTGTACAGATGCTTCGTTGGCCTTTTGTTGGCTCTCAAGTGTACAGCAATAGGAATAGAGTATCATCCCAACCAAAGCGAAGAGAATTCCTAGAATGTTTCGCCAGCTAAAGGGGTCATGGAGCAGACCATAGCCGAACGCCAAAACTAGGCATGTTTTAAGATGTCCTAAGACCTGATAGGTGACTGGAGATGTCTTTCCTATTACAAGAAAGGTACTGAAGTTCACAGAGACCGATATGAGGCACGATAGAACAATGAAGGCCTGAAATGAAGACAATATGAGAGAAAATAGCATTTTAGACAATATTAAAAAAAAAAA